TTTTCATTCATCAATTATATTTTTTTATTTTAATACCCTTGAAGTTTCAGTTTTGTTCAATTTCCAGTGAGAGAAGCTCATTTTTCTGTTTTATATTCATTGAAATAGTCGAATGAGGCGATGACAGGGCGTTTCATTTTCTTTTTTATTCCCATGGGATGAAACAGATATCTGTTCAATTTCCGTTTTGAAAATTGAAATATTTAAATTGATACCATTGAATTAAGTACAATTCAATAAGACTGGCTGCACCAGTTCCTCGAAGGGAAATAGACGAAGAAGTTGAGCGTTTCAATGGGTAATGATGAACTGTCCTAATGAGCTAGTTGACAATTTTCATTCATCAATTATATTTTTTTATTTTAATACCCTTGAAGTTTCAGTTTTGTTCAGTGTCCAGTGAGGAAAGCTCATTTTTCTATTTTGTATTCATGGAAAGGGTCGAATGAGGCACACGGAATTCATTGGGTTTTTCATTTCCATGGGATGAAAATTCAAATATTTAAATTGATACTATTGAATCAATTGAAGTAATCAATTCAACAACTTGAGTACAATTTACTAGAATAGACTCCACCTCCTCGATGGGAAATAGACGACAAATTTAAGTATTTCAATGGGTAATAATGAACAGTCGCGATGAGCTAGTTGGGAAGTTTTATTCATCGGGTTATAGTTTTTCATTTTGAGAAAAACACATTTTTCCATTTTATGTTCATTCAAATAGTCGAATGAAGTTATGACAGGGAGTTTCGCCGTTTTTCATTTGGATAAACTGAAATATCAGATTATTCAATTAGAGATAGACTATGCAATTTCCGTTTTGAAAATTCAAATATTTAAATTGATAGTGTTGAATCAAATCAAAATAATCAATACAACGACTTAATATATATCCGTGGAAAATGGATTTTTCTTACGATTGTCCTCATATTTTTCGTGGAATATTATGAACATTATTTTATTACGAATTTTTACCACGATTTGTGAAATTTTTTATTAAAATGCGTGGAAAGCGTAGCGTCCGTAAAATTTCACTTTACGCACAAGCGTCAAAATAGTACATTTCGACACTAGGCCGTGAGGAATTTTTCTGGCGAATATGAGGTTACAGGACGAGCCGAAGGCGAGTTCTGTAATCATATGAGATAGAAAAGATCCCACGGCCGTGTGTCGAATAATATTTTTTGTCATTGGGCCCGAAAAGTGTTTTTTGTCGCGTGGAAGGTGTGTAGTGCTGCCCTCCCGAGGGTCAAAGCACACTTTTCCCATGACTACCAAACCCTCTTCTTCATCACAACGTGTCGAAAGCGGAGCGTCCGTAAAATTTCACTTTACGCACAAGCGTCAAAATAGTAGATTTCGACACTAGGCCGTGAGGAATTTTTCTGGCGAATATGAGGTTACAGGACAAGCCGAAGACGAGTTCTGTGATCATATGAGGTAGAAAATCTCCCACGGCCGTGTGTCGAACAATATTTTTTGTCATTGGGCCCGAAAACCGCGATTTAACCGAGCGAAGCGAGGTTAAAATCACGGTTTATCGGGCCTAGTGGCGAAAAGTGTTTTTTGTCGCGTGGAAGGTATAGTGCTGCCCTCCCGAGGATCAAAGCACACTTTTCCCATGAGCACCAAACCCTATTTTTCATCACAACGTGTCGAAAGCGGAGCGTCCGTAAAATTTCATTTTACGCACAAGTGATGAAAAAATGTTCTTTGCCGCGTGGGAGGTGTGTAGCACTCGCCAAAGACGATTGCTGCTCTTCCAGAGGTCAAAGCACACTTTTTCCATGAATGTCGAACCCTATTTTTCATCGCGATTCGTGGAAAGCGGAGCGTCCGTAAGATTTCACTTTACGCACAAGCGATGAAATAATATATTTCGATACGATTGCGGGAAAGTGTTTTTGGGCTCGTGGGAGGTTTATAGCACGAGCCGAAGGCGAGTGGCGAAGTGGGGTTCTGCGCACGCGGAGCGTGCGTAAAATGTCACTTTACACACAGCGTGATGAAAAATATTTTTCATCACGCTGTGACGAAAAGTGAACTTTTCGGCACACTCCGCGTCAAAAAACACTTTTTTGCACTCGTTACGAAATATACTATTCTGACGCCTCAAATTCAGACTCGCAAAATGTAAACAATAAAATCATTGAAAACATCCGGAAACTTGGGCGAAATGGGGCTCAAATAAAAGCTCTGATATTGGACTTCAAAAATAGAAAAACATTTCACTGGTGAAAAAATACCCAAATTACTTGGACGTCCTCAACAACAATTCAATAAATTCCAATTCCAGCGACCAATATTGAATAGCCCCGATGAGCTGGCCGAGAATTTTCATTAATCGATGATAGTTTGTCATTCCACGTGCATGGGTCTCACCGAAGGACGCGAGTAGACAATTGGCTCGTTAGGTTGGCTTGTAAACTCGGTTTGTAAACTCTACGGGCCACAGTCAACTTTATGCACAACTCAAAGACACAGGACGTTTAATGCTAGCTTGAGCCACTAACTATCCACTCGCAAACATGAAAATACATTCTCGGTCGGTTTCTTGTTGGTTCAACAAGATGGAAAATTGGTTTGGGACGAGGGAGACTGTCGGTTGGTGCTCGGAGACGACGTTTGTCATATTGTGATGTTGCGAACGAGCGTGACAACCTGTAGAGTGCACGGGGGACAAAAAACGCGTCTTGGGAGGTACAGGATCCTTGATTTAATGCCCTCTCGGGCTTGTCTCGTGTTATTATCTTAGCACTAGGGCGCTGGATTCTTTATGAGGACCTGTGGTGGCTCTTCATATTTAAGGAAAAGATAATTGTCGGGGTTGGGTGGCTCGGCGCTACTGAAAAGAGTCTTTCAGGGGAATGTTGCTTTGAGAAAAATGTGGCTATGAAAATTCATGCCCCAACGCCCGCCGGCTTTATTTCGGATCCTCTTTTTACCTTTCGGTTTCGTGATCAGGCAGGCTTCATTTTCAAGGTGCAAACAGAGCTTTTACTTTGTATTTCGGTGATTTTTTTTTTTGGGGGGGGGGGGGGGGGCCCGGGGGGGGNAAATGTGGCTATGAAAATTCATGCCCCAACGCCCGCCGGCTTTATTTCGGATCCTCTTTTTACCTTTCGGTTTCGTGATCAGGCAGGCTTCATTTTCAAGGTGCAAACAGAGCTTTTACTTTGTATTTCGGTGATTTTTTTTGTGGGAAGGGGGGGACCCGGCGGGGGACTGAGTCTCCATCAATTTTCGGGTGCGTCTGGATCTACTTGACTTGGGGGAAAATGAGGGTTTTGCATGTGAATACAGAACTTGACACTATTGCGTGGAAATCGAAGGGAAATACGATTTTAGGGGGTGATTTCGAGAGGTGATTTGGGGTGACTCAATTGTATTGGAGTTTTTTTTAATTGTGGATTTTATTTCACTAGTCGAACATTTGGTTGAGTCGATTTAGAGTATTGACCAGTTTTCAATGAATATCTTGAAATCCAAGGGAGATAGCAAAATTTTTAATATAGCGTTTTTTGTAGCCCTCAATTCGCTCTATAAAAAGGGTTTAACAAAAATTTCGCCATCTCCCTTAGATTCGGAGATATTTCTCGAAAACTCAGCCAAAGGTTAAATCATGTTTTACGATTTGGTACAGATCACACTATAGATTCAACCATTTTCAATCATTAAATTTGTAAATTAAATTGCGTGAGAAAAATTTGATGAAAATCAAGAATATTCAGTTTTATTCAAATTACATTTTGCACAGAATTATTATTTTTTTAAACACTTATGAGGACCTCACGCAATAATTGGAATTATTGATTTATAAACAACAAGTGTTTAAAAAAAGATTCTTTGCAAAATAAATCAATAATTCTTAATAATGATTAAGAATTTGAAAAATTAATAGAATTAGAATTTAGAATTTACAATTATTCAATTAATAATTCTTTGTTTATAAATCAATAATTGAAATTATTGATTTATCAATAATTGGAATTATAGATTTATAAACAACAAGTCCAGCAGAATTCTGAATATGAATAAATTTGAAAATTGATTGTTTATAAATCATGTATAAAAAATTGCGCGTCATTTTCAAAAATTGCGATTTTTCAATTATTTCTCCAAAAGTCAACTTTCTCATTTTTTCAGATTTTTAAAATGATTTCTAACGTTTCAATATCGAGATGCAAATTCAGACCTGCAAAGTTTAAATAATAAAATTATTGCAAAATGTCGGGAAACTCGCGATCAAATCAACCTCAAATGAAAGCTCTGATGTGAGACAACAAAAATAGAAAAGCATTTCTCTGGAGCAAAAATACCCAAAGAAGAAAGCCATTACGTGAAATTTTTTTTTCTTAAATCCTGAATATTCAGCGTTATCCAACTTACATTTAGCACATCATTATCATTTTGTTCACATTCACTAGTTATAAATGAATAATTGTTGTCAAATCGCCCTTAAACGAAAGCTCTGATGCTAGACAATAAAAGTAGAAATTCATTTCACGAAGAAAAAACCGCCAAAGTACTTGGATCCCCTGAAACCGTTTCCCGCTTCCAGATCCAATCCACTTCCAATCCTTCCATTCAGAAGTAAAAAACATACTTCGATACGATTCAACAGCCATTTCAAATAATCCCATTTAAACTTACTGATGAACTTGAAATTTTCCTCAATTTGCCAACCTCTCGAAGTATTCAAACCCTCGGAGATTGGCAATTCCCTCAATGATTAAGACTAAATTGAAGAGCCGTTGAATCTACGGTACATTAATTCCTCTCATTCTTCCAGATGTTGGTGTGCAACAGTGTCTGGAACAACAACCCCTTGAACATGACGAATGTTGGATACGTGAAGTGAAGCCCTAACCGAAAAACTCAAAGTGAGAAGAAAAACGAGACCGGATAAGGGAAATGCGATACACGCGATTTGGAAGGATATCCTAAAAGATTTGTGGGTGAAGAATCACAAAACGTTCAAGTGGAAAGGGCGGTTGCGTTGAGGGGCGGGGAGGGGGCGGGCGTTTGTTGAAGATCAAGGGGGGAACAGAGAGATAATGTTTAACAAAGAGCGCGATAAAAACGTTTTACGGAGCCTCGGTATGTTGACGAGGTATCGACGATACCGCAAGTATCGGAAGATCCTCTGATTCCAAAGTTCTCGGTTTGCGTGTAAAAAGACATTAATAATCATGTTGATTGTTTAACTGTTTCCTCTTCTGCTGTCGACTGTGATTTCACATATACCATTGATGCAAGTTTATGGACAATTGCTTGCAACGAATTAACTGAAAAAAAAACAAAACAAAAATTGATAAGTCTAATTCACGCAAAGGCTGATTAATCAAATATATTTACCTCGTTTTTACATTTTAAGGGAGTAATGAGATCCTTTCTATCGGTATTAACGACTAAGTCTGTTGTTAGGTTGACAAATATTAACGACAAAGTGATTTAAGGCTGTTAATTGTTTTTCTTGTGAAAGTGAATAGTCATTGTTAATATTAAATGTAAAATAATAATTAGTGGATGTTTAGAAAAATGAAAGTAAAATGGGGGAGAGAACGTGCTCGGAGCCAGCTGTACTCATTTGTAAACGAAATGGTAAAAGAACGGAAAGGGGAGGACCGTAGATAAGACGGTTGTCTCTCCAAATACAACGGGGTTTTGACGCTAATGATGCGGGATTTAAACGCCAGTGCCTGCATCGACCCGTACAATGATGGAGCGGTCGACTGGTCGGGAGCTGGAATTGTTGGGACACTAGTTGTACTTGCCATTATCGATGTCATGGTTATACTTGGTAATGTTCTCGTCATACTTGCTGTCTATCATACCAGCAAGTTGAGAAATGTCACCAATATGTTCATTGTGAGTCTTGCTGTTGCTGATCTACTCGTTGGACTTGCTGTTCTACCTTTTAGCGCTACTTGGGAGGTTTACAAAGTGAGGATAACATCATGTTTTCGAATATGTTTCGTTTGAACGTGAGCATTGTTGAATGTGATGGTTGTTCTTGTGGCGATTGAGGGAGGATGAGTTGTGTTAAGATACATTTGTTGACATCTGCATACTTTACTTTATTTGACTATTACGATGAATATGAAAATAAAATACTAGTGAAGCTAAATCACTAGCGAAACGGTAAGACGGTTCAAGTCGATTTTGACTATTGGCCAGTTTTCAATGAATATCTCGGAAGTTAAGGGAGATAGTGACAATTTTGTCATAACCTTTTTTGTAGAGCGAATTGAGAGCTACAAAAAAGGTAATGACGAAAATTTCGTTATTTCCCTCAGATTCGGAGATATTCCTCGAAAACTCAGCTGACTAAATCGACTTAAACCGTTCTACCGCTTTACTACTGAAATCCTGATTTAGACATCACAATAGTCCTCCAACATATAGACTTCTACAACCTATTCGAAGCATAAAGTTAAAAATATTCATCAGATTTTATGTGTCATGATAACACATGAATTGTGGAACAGGCAATTCTGAATTAGATTTCATTTTTACCTGAACATATGTTGAAAGTAAAGGTTGTTCTTGTAACGATTGAGGAAGGATGAGTTGTTTCAAGATACATTTTTTACAATTTTCCCACCTCACTTCACTATTTGACTATTTCAATGAATATGAAACTAAAATAATTGTGAAGCGAAATCGTGATTTAGTCATCACAATAATCTTCGAACACGTAAAATTCTCAAGCCCACTGAAAGCATAAAGTTGAAAATATGCATCAGATTTTGTGTCATGATAGCACATGAATTGTGGAACAGGTAATTCGGAATGAGTAGTAAAGGTTATCCTTGTAACAATTGAGGGAAGATGAGTCGTGTTAAGGTACATTTTCTAAAATTTTCATACTTCACTTCACTATTTGACTATTTCAGTGGATATGAAACACAAATATTCGTTTTGAATATAAATATAAATAAATAGTAAAGCTAAATCCTGATTTAGTCATTACAACACCTAGAACTTTCGAACCCATTCGAAGCATAAAGTTAAAAATATGCATCAGGATTGTGGAGCAGGTAATTCTGAATGAGATTTCATTTTTTCCTGCACATATGTTCAAAGTAAAGGTTGTCCTTGTAACGATTGAGGGAAGATGAGTTGTGTTAAGATACATTTTCTAAAATTTTCATACTTCACTTCACTATTTGACTATTTCAGTGGATATGAAACACAAATATTCGTTTTGAATATAAATATAAATATAGTGAAGCTAAATCCTGATTTAGTCATTACAACACGTAGAACTCTCGAACCCATTTGAAGCATAAAGTTAAAAATATTCATCAGATTTTATGTGTCATGATAGCACATGAATTGTGTAACAGGTATGGATATTTGGGAGCATATGGTGTTCAGTGTGGTTGGCAGTTGATGTATGGATGTGCACTGCGTCAATCCTAAACCTCTGTGCAATCAGTCTCGACAGATATCTCGCGGTCACTCGGCCCGTCAGCTATCCTCAGGTAAAATTGAGTTCACACCGAGTATCACACCATGTACGGCTAAATGAACGCCGTGTCATTGGGCCAAGTGTGCTTGACTTATCAATAATGGTGGGGTGAACTTTATTGTTCCCAGATAATGTCGCCGAAGAGAGCTAGATTACTGGTCGCTGCGGTCTGGGTTCTCAGCTTTGTCATATGTTTTCCACCGCTCGTTGGATGGAAGGATCAGATGGTAATCCATTAAGCCGGGTCCATTCTTTTTTTACATTTTGTTTTTCATTCAAGATTAGTCAAACCTGAGGGTTAATACCGCTGTGGAGATATTCTAAATTTAAAAATATATGGGGGAACGGCGTAAAATTGTCCACTCAGAGTTTTTCATTCTCAAAATATTTCGTTATATACGGAGAGAATATAAAATTGAAAATTACTGTGTGAACGTAGTAATCGGGGAAAATAACTGGACGTTTGCGATGTGAAATTCATTTTTTACGAGTTAACATTGTAATTTTTTTCATAAGTAGACAATTGATTTTTTTAAATCAACAGTGCCAATTCATTTTTTTAAACCAATTTTCACTATTAAACGACGAAAAATGATTCAAATCGTATGAATTTTTAGTATGTTAAATGGTAATTTTTTCTTACGATTTAAAACTTCAGTTTGTACTCTCGCGTCTCCTACATTTTTCTCGGGGAAATTGCAGAAATTACTATGTTGACTTGTAAAAACTCCAGCGAACGACGAGTGCGTCGATTGTTTTCAATTATCATATCAAGTCGCAATTCGAATTTTTTCTATTTAATTCAGCTTGGAAATTCAGGATAATTGGGTTTTCCATGTAGGATTTATCCCTGATATTTCAGTGACATTTAGAATTTTTTAATTCATTGCTGAAATTAGCCATCACATCCAACTGAATTTTCAATTAATTGAAAATTCAGGAAAATTGTTGCTTGAATTTTCAAATTATTCAATAATTTTTATCATCACGTGGACCTGAAAATTGCAATTCCCTTGAATACTCCAGAATTCAACTGATTTTTCAATTTCAAGATTTTTTACTTGAATTTTCAGGACTAATTTTCTAACAGTGCAGTGCATGTTCTCACAGTAAAAAAAAATTATATTTTCTCCGTGAATTCTGTTTTACCCCACTCTCTCATGAGTGGGAATCGGCTCGGGGGAATTTAATTTTAACCACCGAAGGGCAGTAATTCCACTAAAATTAATCGATCCCCCATTATTGCCTGTACCAAAGTCCTATCCATCGTGGAGTGACGCAGTACCCGAACGAAATGGCCCGTTCAACAGCACGACGATAGATCTACGTGAAAAAAAGTGTCCGTGGAAATGCGAGCTCACCAATGACCCTGGTTACGTCGTGTACAGGTACTATCACTATCGCTCAGGAGCGTGATTTTTAAGGATGTTTAGCCAGTGTCGGTAAATTGTCGGTAATTGTGTTTTTTTCATGGTCAAGGAAAATTCTGTAATTTTTCCGGCTGACAGGAGAACACATGAAACTAACTTTTCTAACGTTAAGGGGAGACTACTATGATCTTTAAAAGTCGTGAGCTATTGGAATGAGACTTTTCAGGCGTTGAAGATCGATTGTATAGATCTAAAAACGAATAATTAGTGCAAAAAAAAATTTTTTTTTTATTGCTCGTTTGCCCGAAAACGCTTAAAATACCAAAAACAGTTCAGGGCCTCCAATTTTTGAGCTACGAAGGATTTTTTTTCAAAATTTTCGGAAAAATATGTGGAATAACAATTACGTGCTAGTTTTTTTTAATTCGCCTCTTACATGGCTAAATTTGCTTTTTTGTATTTTTTTACACACATAGTGAATTTTTTTATATGAAAAAAACCGAAATCAGCTGTGTAGGAGTCGAATTCCAAAAAACTGGCTCGTAATTGTTGTTCCACACATTTTTCCGAAACTTTTGAAGACAAAAATCTGTTGTAGCTTAAAAATTGGAGGCCCTGGACTGTTTTTAGCATTTTAAGCGTTTTCGGGCAGACGAACAATAAAAAATTTTTTTTGCACTAATTATTCGTTTTCAGATCTATATAATCGATCTTCAACGTATGAAAAATCTCACTCCAATAACCCTCGACTTTTAAAACTCATAGTGGTCTCCCCTTAAAAAAAATTAATCCCAATAGTCTTGGAAGAAATGAATAAACTAATTTTCCTTGCACACGGGCTCTTACGAAATTTATGTTCAAATTGATAATTCACCTACTCGAAGACTCTGAAAATAGAAAAAAAAATAGAAGGTAATGTGTAAAATCATACACTGAGAGAAAACCAAACACGTCAAACGAGTCTTGTTTGGGCCAACAAAATCGCTAGTTGAAAATTGCCAAAAAAGAATTTGTTTGGTTTGAATTTGAAAGTCTCAAACATGAATAATTGTTCTGCTTTCAACAGCAACGAAATATTTGGCTCAAGAGGCGGATAATTCACACCAGACGGTGCCTTTTCAGGATGAAAATATCGCATACGGAGGAAAATTTATCAACAAATATTTTATCCCTAAGTTACAAGATTGCTATTATATAAGACAAGTAAGACTTGTTTGAGAACTTTGTCGTTTTTCTCTCAGTGTACTGAATCCAATGGCCAGAGAAAAATCTGGGATACCCGGACAAAAAGAGGAAATATTTGAATGATTCTATCCCATACACTGAGAGAAAAATCTGAAGTTCGATTCACAATAAGAAAATAGTTGAGGCAGTTTTGGTGAACGATACGATTTTTTTTTGTATGCGGCACATAACATTATAGTAACTTCACAAGCGTAAGTTTGCAAATCAAAGTGCAGTTCAACTGACCAAAGTTCAAAAGTAACCACGACAAATCTATCGTGAGTAGAACTATAAAATAGTAGCAATGACTACATTCCATGGTAATAATCACTTCTCCGGCCAGTTACCGTAACCCATGGGAAATTGTTGAGGACTTTTTGACTATAGTTCGATGGTGATGGAATATAATGAGAAGAATCACATTTTTCTCCCAGTGTACAAGCGCCCATATTGGTGTATATCTTTGGTGAATTTTGTCTATTTCATTTCTAAATAATGAACATGGGTTGGTGGATTGAAATTTGTATCGAAGTGAAGGGGATATCTTCATCTCTCAGTTGAAAAAAAATTCAATTTTCTTTAAGTACTCACGATTTTGGATAAACATCCTTAAGACATTCTTTCATCATTATCGATGCACTTGGCATCTGCATTCTAGCATTGTCATACCTGTTACGAGAGTCATGCAATTGTTTTCTTTTTTTTTTATCTGTGATCAGTGCACTGGGGTCGTTCTACATACCAATGCTAGTCATGATGTTTTTCTACTGGAGAATCTACAAAGCCGCAGTGTCAACTACAAAGGCCATAAATCAGGGCTTTCGGACGACGAAAGGCTCCAAAATGTTTGGCACGAGGTGAGAAAATTTTTGTCTTCGAGCGCATTATTTATTTGTTTATTTATTCAAAGTGGACGGGTATTAATGGGAGTCCATAAACATGTTGAGTCGTTCATTAATTAAATTGAATTGAATGATTAATGCTTGAACTGTTTGAATGAATCACTATTTAAACAACGATTTTTAACGTTTGTAACACTTCATCCATTTCAACGTTCATTTTCTTTTTATTTTAGTGCTATTTTTAAGTCAACAGACATGAGACGAAGTAGTCTTTGAATGTTTTGAATCAGACGTCTGAGTATAGCGAAGTGGTAAAAGGATTTAAGGATATCCAAGTACTTTAGCTATTTTTCCTCCGGTGAAATACTTCTCTACTTTTGTAGGGGAACACCAGAGCTTTCATTTCAGCCCTATTTGACCCCAAGTTTCCGTCTACTTCACAATGATTTTATTATTTAAACTGTACAGATCTGAATTTGAATTTTTTCAATGTACAGGCATTTTCATAGTGCAAATTCAATCGATTTTGACAATTACTTTTTTAATTACCGTGACAAGACTGAATTGGTCACGCACAAACATACATACGGACGTGCTCTAAAAGCATCATACTCTGATTCCTGATGTTGGAATATTTGAACACAGCTCTTCTGTTTTTCTTCAAAAATCACTCGACAAGGTTTATGACGTGTTGGGGAAAGTCCCCAGAAAAGGACTAATTTATGATCCGTTGTGCTCCGAACTCGAGAGCGTTGCAATCCTTACCACATGTAGAAATTCAAAGGAAACTCTGTCCTCTGGAGTCATAAACTTTGTCTTGCTTTTCCTTCAGTAAAGGTTTTTCAAATAGTTAGAATTTAGTCTCTGGACAACGGTCCTCTAGTACAGTCGTGCCTTCCTCGTGCCAATAATAAAGAGTTCAAGATAAAAGTATTCATTGCGTTACTACATTTATTTATCCACTTTTACCCATATCCCAATACCTGAGCCCAGAATTACTCATCCTAACACGAAAAATGTGGGTTTTGGTGAAGGATAGAAGGGTTTTGTAACGTAAAACACTCGGAATTAACGTATATATCGAATTGAATTTATTCACAGCGAAAGTAACTTTGGTTTACACCATGAGAGCTGGAACATGAGTGAGCTCCCGCGACAACGGTATTAGATCATCCGATCGAGGATGTCCGAATTATTACGAATCGTCGCGAGGATGTCTTGCGACAAGGACAGCGATATATCGGCGACACGTCACGGTACGAAATGGTTCTAGGAAAGATGTTCCCCGGAAAATCGTTCCTGGAAAATCGTTCCCCGAAAAATCGTTCCCCAAAAAAATGTACCCTAAAAAATGGACCCGGACAAAATGGTTGTTCCATTGGTCCATTGTCATGGACTGTTGTTACAACAGTTTTTGGAGTAGGGTGGGGGGTATTTGCGTTCCACATTTTTCAGGTAGGCTAATGGAAATAATGGATGGAATGGATTTTGGATAGATGGGAATTCCTTCTCAATATATTAGTCTACAAATAATTCGAGAAAAAATTCAGATATTTTCAGACCAGGAATCGAACCCGGGACCTTCCGATTACCAGTCGGGTGCTCTTCCCAGCTGAGCTATCCGAATATATACTGATTTCCATTCAAATTATTTGTCCATATTGAGCCACACCGTCCTTCATACGGCAACCATTTTTACAACAGTTTTTCAAGGTAAACACTCATCACCTAAATGAATAAATATAGGTGAACAGGAAAGATTACGAATAAAGGGAGATTTTGTTGGCCATCCTAACAAAATAGGGAACAAATTTCCGGGGAACAATTTTCCAGGGGAACAATTTTCCAGGGAACAATTTTCCGGGAACGATTTTCCGGGGAACATCTATCCGGGTACCTACGCAATTCGGTTGCTAAGCCGAGCTCGAAAACAATACATTGAAATGGTGTGAAATAAATATAAAAGTAGCTTCGCTACAAAAAACTAGAATATTTAATATTGAGGAATACAATGCTTCCATTCGGCAGGAAAAATAGAGTGAAGGATCGTCCAATAAATTATCGCCCAACGTCAATTCCAAGCACTCAGCATATGAATACTCAACTAGAAGTGATAAAACTCTTATCATTAAGAAGAGAATGTGGGGTAGAAAGTCATAAACTCGGAAAAAGTTCTCGGTATTTCAATGATCACGGAGTTATGGACTCTTTAACACAAGTACTCACTTTCAACGCTTTTACTGCTACATAAGTTTGAAGAAGCGAATGGAAACTAAGAGAGATGATGAAAAGGGAGGGGGAGAATAACAATTATTACGAATATGAAAAGAAGTTATTCTTGATAAGCGTGTGTGCCTGTGGGGCACGAGTCAAACGCCCACATTTCCTTCGAGGGGGGGTATATCGTCGTGTGGTCGGTGGGCTACGGTGGCTGTGGGTGCCTCGTTACTCGAGTTATTTCTCAACAGCGATACGGACAATTTATAGCGCGAGTGTTTGCTTGCCCATTGAGGGACTTTAAATGCTTCCCCGTAATTGCTTTAGTACGATGTAATTTGTCGTCAAGATGTCCCGCTTTTCACTGATACAATTTTCATCCGCTCGTTCTTTCATTATTCCGATCATTGTTTTTTTTTCCGCGGGACAATGGGGCAGCCGGAGCCTGGCCCAGTTGAGGTGGCCTGATTTTAAAATTCAATTACTCTTCATGCGACAAATTTCGATGATTACCTCTGTGCAGAGAAGAGGGTGCACCGGTTTCAGTGGTGAACATCTCAAGATCGGGAGAATGAACAAAAATAGACAAAATCGCAGTACAGAATTGAAATTATTTTATTACGTTTTTCAACTTTTCAAATGTTTATAAAACAGTAATGAACTTCGAGAGAATGAGGATTAGATTAATTGAGAAATCAAACTCAGGTATTATTGCGTAATAATAATCCGAGAAAATTTGAAGTCTCCAATTCTCTATTTCCGTCATTTTTTGTATTCATTCTAGCAAAAGACAAGAATAGAAATCGAATTTATAGGTATTCTTCCATTATTTGAAAAAAATCGATTTTGTAACTTTCCGGAGACCTTGAAAAATTAATTTTTTTAGTTTTTACTGCCTACGTTTTTTAGCATTTTCTTCATTTCTTCGCATTAAAATTAGATCATAAAATTCCAAAATATTCGTATTCCGACAACATTTGAAAAAAATTACATAATAATAATCCGAGAAAATTTGTAGCCTCCAATTCTCAATTTCCGTCATTTATTGTATTCATTCTAGCAAAAGACAAGAATAGAAATCGAATTTATAGGTATTCTTCCATTATTTGAAAAAAATCGATTTTGTAACTTTCCGGAGACCTTGAAAAATTAATTTTTTTAGTTTTTACTGCCTACGTTTTTTAGCATTTTCTTCATTTCCTCGCATTAAAATTAGATCATAAAATTCCAAAATATTCGTATTCCGACAACATTCGAAGAAAATTACATAATAATAATCCGAGAAAATTTGTAGTCTCCAATTCTCAATTTCCGTCATTTATTGTATTCATTCTAGCAAAAGCCAAGAATAGAAATCGAATTTATAGGTAGCCTTCCATTATTTGAAAAAAATCGATTTTGTAACTTTCCGGAGACCTTGAAAAATTAATTTTTTTAGTTCTTACTGCCTACGTTTTTCAGCATTTTCTTCATTTCTTCGCATTAAAATTAGATCATAAAATTCCAAAATATTCGTATTCCGACAACATTCGAAGAAAATTACATAATAATAATCCGAGAAAATTTGTAGTCTCCAATTCTCAATTTCCGTCATTTATTGTATTCATTCTAGCAAAAGCCAAGAATAGAAATCGAATTTATAGGTAGCCTTCCATTATTTGAAAAAAATCGATTTTGTAACTTTCCGGAGACCTTGAAAAATTAATTTTTTTAGTTCTTACTGCCTACGTTTTTCAGCATTTTCTTCATTTCTTCGCATTAAAATTAGATCATAAAATTTAAAAATATTCATATTCCGCCCACATTCGAAGACAAAACAGTGATTCCAAGTGACAAAATCAAGAAAAACAAATTTTCTCGATTTTCTAGCTGATCATCCCTTTTCAAAAATTTTCAGAAACGAAGAGATTTTTCCATTACCCGAATGAGATTTCGAATGACTTTTGTTTCGCGTGTTCATTTTGATCACAAAAAACACTTTTTATTGATCTTCAACGCAATTCCTCTTCATTAAATATTGCAACTTGTGAATAAAAGAAAAACTATATACAATACGAATAAGAACGAATCAAATTAAATAAATTTAATTGTGAAGACGGAAATTGAAATAAAATAAAATAAAATAGTGTAAATTAATCTAGCGAACTTAATTCCAGTTCAGAATTAATTGTTTAATTATAATTGAGAATTAAAAATTGTTTTCATAGTTGAATCATTTTGAAGATCTTTTTTCAGACTTCAAAATGAGACTCGACTCATTGAAGTCGCCCTATTCCGTCGAGAGATATCAATGATTAAATGAATCTTTTTTTTTTTAATGAAGTTGTCGCAATTGTACGTAATACACCGACTGATTACCAGATTTGACGAGCAACGACTGACCCTGAGGATCCACCGTGGACGTGGTAGTGTCCACAACGGTGCTAACAGCAGTAGTAGCCCACGTAGTCCTGAATCAAGTCGGAGTGCTTCTGTACGGAGAGACAAGATCAAGATATCAGTCTCGTATCCGAGCACAGAGACACTCAATACCAAGTGCAATACCCTTGAACGTACACCATCAAAGTGTTCCCAGATATCAGTGCATTACAGCAATGGTCAGACGCTGAATCAGCTCTGCACAACATCCAGAAATACTCATCTTAAGGTAATGTCACTCCACTCAATAGTTGAATTCAATTAATCCGCGCCTGAATGAGCAATTCCGCGTATTTATTTTTCATCATTCGTTTCGTTGAACATAAAAGTCGAAATTGGTGCCACAGAATACGACTAATTGACCCACTGAATACTGCACGTTAACTAGTTGGCGATATCGATATAAAAGTGTTATTTCCCCCGTGCAAAATCGGTTAATAGCGGGGAAAAACGAATGTGAAAACGGCCCGCAGTCACAATGTACCTGACGCGTACAGTTTTAATTACTGCTTCTATATCAATGACCACACAACCGCTCAATTAATATTCATTCCTGATGAAAAATCGCCGGGGATATTTACATCATGAACGACTATAAATATTCATAGCTACAGCATTTGTCGGGGAAATTGAGGACTCGATGAGCCAGTGAAAGAGATTTCAGATTTGATTAAACTGACCCTCGTAATCGTTGTTTTGACCCTTAATCTGATCCCTGTGACCCTCAATCCGACCCTCGTGACCCTTATTTTGACCCTCAAGACCCGAATTCTGACCCTCATGACCCTTATTTTGATCCTCGTTACGCTAATTCTAAACCTCGTGACCCTGATTCTGACCCTTTAACCCTTATTCTAACCCTCATAACCATTATTTTGACCGTCATGACCCTCAAGACCCTCATTCTGGCCTTGTAACCCTTTTTCTGACCCTCATGACCCTTATTTTGACCCTCATTGCGCTAATTCTAAATCTCGTGACCCTTATTCTGACTCATGACCCTGATTCTGACTCTTTAACCCTTATTCAAACCCTCATAACCATTATTTTGACCCTCGTGGCCCTCATTTTGACCCTTGCGACCCTCAATTGTCTTAATTTCGAGCCTTAATTCAACTTTCGTGACCCTTGTGACCCTTTTTCTGGCCCTCATGACCTTGATTCGGAACCTCATGACCCTTATTCTGACACTTATGGCCCTTATTCTAACCCTCATGACCATTATTTTGACCCTGGTGACCCTCAGTTTCACCCTTGTGACCCTTAATTGTGAACTCTTAATTTCAAACCTTAAGCCGACCCTTGTGACCCTTATTTCTTAATCCCACCCTTAATCCAACTCTCGTGACCCTCCTTCTGACCTTTGTGACCATTATTCTGACCCTTGTGATGCTAATTCTGACCCTCGTAATCCTTACTCCGACCCTCATGACCCTCCGAGCCTCGTGATCCTTCTTATGACCCTTGTGACCCTCATGACCCTTAATTGTGGAGTCTTAATTTCGAGTACCAAATTTTTATCACCAGAAGTCGATTTGGTTTTTTATAACATAGAGAGATCGTGATTCTTTCCATAATTTTTCAATTTATTCAATAAAAATCCTAACAATTCACTATTTATTCTTTATTATTCGCATGATCATTAGGTTAGTGGGATTAATCGCGTGGGAAGCACCAGGAGACCTAGCCGTCGCAGTAGTTGCGAGAGTCAAGTAACTGGTGATGAAGTTTCACTTCGTGAACTAACAAGTGCCAGTGAAGAGAAGCCACGTGTAATGAAGATGGGCAAGAGGAACATAAAGGCACAGGTACAGGCAAACTGTAGAACGTTGGAGTTGAGCCAGGCGTTCAACTTTTCATAACGTTACCTTTTTATTTGGCTCGGAGTTGATCGTATATTCGACGAGAGTTTGACAGAATCAATTGGTTCAGTTGTGGTTGAGGTAAAAATAAATAATGTACGTTGTGTGGATGCTCGGGATCATCCGCAATGTGTCATCATTTATTTTTGAGAGGGGACGGAACAGTTTCAGTTGAACGCCTGGGCGAATAAGTCTTATCCATCATGCTGGGGGAGGATATCCAAGTACTTCGGGCAGGGTTTTTTTTTCTACGTTTTTAGGTGAACACCAACGATTTCTTTCTATTTTTCAAGTCATGTGATTGTTAATTAAACAATAATCCAATGGATTTTTTTATAGTTTTTCTTTCAGTCAAATAATGATAGAATAGAGTAAAAATAAAACGAGTGCAAAATTGCTTTCGTCATAATGTAGTAGTAGTATACGTTGTCCCAACGTTGGGAGCCAACATTGTCCCAACATTGACCCGACATTGTCCCAACGTCCAGTAGTGAAACGAAAAAACAGTTCAAGTTAATTTAGCCCTCAGCTAAGTTTTCGATGAATATCTCCGAATCTAAGGGAGATAACAAAATTTTCATAAAAAACTTTTTTGTAGAGCGAATTGAGGGCTACAGAAAAGGTCATAATAAAAATTTCGCTATCTCCCTTAGATTTCGAGATATTCATTGAAAACTGGCAAATGGTCAAAATCGACTTGAACCGTTTTACCGTTTTGCTACTCAATTTTTTACCTCTCCCTGTATATCAGTTAGAGAATAAATTTTTTCAACAACAGACGATGTAATCAATCTCATGATCGAACTCCTGAGTCCAAAAATAGTAATTTTGACACAAAAAAAAAATTTTAATTTCGGATTTGACGAATCCAATGCTTCCATTCGAAAGCAAAAGTGCAAAAAATAATACAAGTATTTTTAGTCTAATGGACTTGGATATTCTTAATACAGATTTTTAATGCTAAAAATAAAATGTATTTATCATAATGCAGGTGAAGAGATTTCGCATGGAGACTAAAGCAGCAAAAACCCTCGGAATAATAGTGGGTGGTTTCATACTCTGCTGGTTGCCATTCTTCACAATATATCTAGTACGTGCATTCTGTCCAAATTGTATAAATCCAACAGTCTTCAGTGTACTCTTCTGGCTTGGTTACTGCAATTCAGCGATAAATCCATGTATCTATGCCCTCTTCAGTAAGGACTTTAGATTTGCATTCAAGCGGATAATATGCAATTGTTTCTGCAAGAGAAACAGAAATTCATTGCGTCGTGGAAGTGACGGAAGCCAATTGGCAACGAGGTTGTTCGTTAATTCCATTATCAATCACTTTATATATTCCAATCCTGGAGTTATATGAATATCACACGCAATAACACGCTTTTAACTGAACATTTGTTTTTATTTTTATCTGTTGCCTGCACAAGAAGATGACTAAAAAAATCATAACAATCTTTGGTGTCGCATTTGCTCATTGATTTTGCGCTGCTAAATCACGCTGTGGCACAACACAAAAGAATTGCAAAAATTAATTGGTCCTTTTTTTTTGTTTGTAATGATTGATTTTCAGAAACGACAGAAGCCCAAGTTATTCGATACGTGTACCACAGCATGGTGTGTCTGTCGAGGACTCTGATCCAGATCCAAACTCCGATCATAATGCACACTCACAGAGTGACTCTAGGTGACTGTAGCGTAAGCGGAGCCGCGTCTGTAATCGCGTTCTCTTCGATCGAAAAACCACAGTCGCGATTGAGCTCTCGTGAGAGGTTCTGGGAGAAATGCTCCCCGGAAAAATGTTCCCCAAAAAAAAAACTCCGGAAACTGGCCCCAAAATCAGAAAATACAGTCTCTCGATATGAGCGAAAACACGAAAAATATGGAAAGATACAAAAAAGAGTGTATTTTGAGACGAGTGCGTAAAAGTGTTTTTTTCAGCACACTGTCCGTAAAATGTCGTTTTACGGACCTTTGGCGTCTGGCGAAAAGAACTTTATATTACTCGGCCCGAAATTATATTTTGGTTCGTCATCAGCCAAAAAAGTATTCCTCGGCTTCGTCTCGGTCTGCAATCTTCACACTCGTCACAAATAGTATATTTGGATACGAGTGCGTAAAAGTATTTTTTTCAACACTATCCGTAAAATGTCGTTTTACGGACACTTGGCGTCTGCCGAAAAAAACGTTATATTACTCGGCCCGAAATTATATTTTGGTTCGTCATCAGCCAAAAAAGTATTCCTCGGCTTCGTCTCGGTCTGCAACCTTTACACTCGTCAGAAATAGTATATTTCGATACGAGTGCGTAAAAGTATTTTTTTTCAGCACACTATCCGTAAAATGTCGTTTTACGGACACTTGGCGTCTGTCGAAAAGAACTTTATATTACTCGGCCCGAAATTTTATTTTGGTTCGTCACTCGTCAGAAATAGTAAGAGGTAAGAGAGATAGGAAAATTTTTGTCATGACCTTTTTTGTAGTCCCGAACTAGCTCTGCAAAAAAGGTTATGACAAAAATTTTCCTATCTCTCTTGGATTCCAAAATATTAATCAAAAACTGGCCAGAAGTCAAAATCTTGATTTTCCGGGGAACAAGTACCCCCAGATACCCTCGTGAGACAAATTGCCATTAATTTTTTGGACAATTCCCACTTTTCCATCGTTGAACCGTACATCTTGAGCGGGTGGATCTCTAGTCTACTATCCCCTGTATTAAATTATTAATGGGTGTCTCTCTGAAATTGAAAAAAAAAAATACACTCGCACGGAGAGAGCTGTTCCGAGAATGAATATCTCATGAGCGAATGAATCGCACTTCATTTCGAGGCCCGAAAAAATTGGCTTCAAAATGAGAAAGAAAAAAAAAACGTTGGACTCTACTCCTGCCAAAAAAATTGTTCTCCGTGCGGAGTGGCCTTTTCATCGCGCGCTGTGGATTTCTGAATAAAAAATAAAGACAAGACGAGTGCTTCGTTCTAATTCTGTGTCTATCGAGGGATACGTCGCCGATGCTATCCGCATTAATATGGAACGTGTTAAGTATCTTCTCCCTGTACATATGAATGTATATACTTCGTTTTAAAAATCTGTTTGTTTTTTATTATGCTCCGGTGTTTATTTGCACTGTAACATGAATATAGACAAACTGTTATTTAGGCGAGAAAGAGTGAGAGAGAGTGAGAGAGAGAACTAGGTGTTTCTATTACAAGAAGAAAGAAAATAACTGGACAAATGTATTCTGCTTTCGCGTACAATAATACTCAATACGTAAAAGAGAAAGAGTGAATAAAATATCACAAAGATGCGAAAACAAAAAAAAGTCTATTTGTCATGACCCTGTCAGCTTTAATCCTGCGGCGATTCCTAGTAAATTGTAGCCCATTTAATCAACACTGCTTTTCCCCCCCTGGATTATTTGCATAGGTCCTCTTTTGGGTCGGATGATACGTCCGCTGGGACGTCCCGATGCTTCTCCATGTTATCTCATCAACTATTCCCATAAAATAAAACACAAAGGAGGAAACAGATGTTTTTATTCCACACACAGGTACAAAAATAATAATAAAGAAATCGAATTCCATTTTAATAGCGTGTATTCGATACAACTAGTGCACAGATGCTGCGAATACGAGTCAAGTATGCATTCATATTTTCGTACTATTGAAAACCTGTTGAATCAACTCGAAAGGCATTCGCTTCGTAATGATAAAGAAACAAAGGCTCCCTTTAACCGACAAAATTACGAGTGGAGCCCTGTCAATTCAATCCGCAGGATCAAAAAATCTTTGCCTGCACTCCGTGAAAAACACGATAACGGCAACACGAATGTGCCATTTCGAAATGTTTCTCGTCGTAACGAATATTCGTATTTCGTCATTCATCATCATGTAACCCATTTGATCAATACTCTGAGTCCCCCCTTGAATTATTTGCACAGGTCCTCTTCCGGGTCGGATGTTATCTCGCCAGTTACTCCCATAAAATAAAACACAAAGGAGGAAACAGATGTTTTTATTCCACCCACAGGTACAAAAATAATAATAAAGAAATCGAATTCCATTTTAATAGCATGTATTCGATACAACTAGTGCACAGATGCTGCGAATACGAGTCAAGTATGCATTCATATTTTCGTACTATTGAAAACCTGTTGAATCAACTCGAAAGGCATTCGCTTCGTAATGATACAGAAACAAAGGCTCCCTTTAACCGAAGAAATTACGAGTGGAGCCCTGTCAATTCGATCCGAATAATCAAAAATTTTCGCCATCGAATTGCAAGGGATCATCTGTTGAAATAATACTACGCCTGCACTCCGTGAAAAACACGATAACAGCAACACGAATATACCATTTCGAAATGTTTCCCGTCGTAATGAATATTCGTATTGCGAGCGTCTCCTATCTATTTCTCCATTCATCATTCTCGATTCTCCACTCGCATTACAGACAATTTTATTGATACGAAACCGTTTTATTCCACTCGACGACAGCGATGAAACGGGAGAGAGTGAGAGAAAAAGCTATAAATCGGGGAATTAGCTGTGATAAATTGTGGTTTATTAAGCCTCGGGGAGATTCGTAGCCAGCACTCGAAATCCATTGTGATCAGCGATGTAGTGTACCTGTTGTAGTAATCCATTAGCATCAATGTAGCTGTATGCGCCCCTGGTTGTACCGTCTAGAGACCTACTTTCGGTTTTAGCACTGGTATCACCCGCATAACTGTAGTCATATTGTCCGAGTGAATCCTGCGTATGATGCAGTGCACTGTGCGTCAGTCTCCAGGGGACAATTGGCACATATACACCACTTGGTTGTGGATTACTCGGTGGATAATTAACCAGTGATGCTGTCTCTTTGACGTTTGAACTCAGGTAGGGACGGGGGACTTTAATGCTCGCTGCTTCAATCGTTGATAGTAAAAATGGATTAACGCTGCTCTCGGCACTACTCGGATTATCAACAATTGAATTATCAAATTTATCGTAGTCCGCCAAGTGCTTTTGACGTACTGCTGGTGGCTTTGATACTTCAGATGGAATTAATGAATTTTCAACTGGCTGCGGTAAATTACTCGCTCGAATACGAAAACCATTCACATCGTCCGCAGTGTAGGCTACTGTCTGGAGGATTCCATTCGCGTCGATGTAAGAGTAGCCTGGGAAGAATTTCCAATTAAACTTTTTTAGTTTTTAGTCGCTTCGGCGAGGGGGAAATTTATTTAGATTGAATTGTTCTGTTGGAATTATTATATGAGTGAGACGTAGATGAAGGCGAAAAACCATCTCTAATGAGTTCATTTTTCTTGGTATGGATTGTATGTTTAATAACACCGGAGTCAGAGTGTTTATAAGAATTTTGTTTGGTCTCAGTAGAGTGGAGGAGTGGGATGAATGCCTCTTTATGGATCAGATTTTTGACCAGAGTTCGTCACCAATATCTTTGTGTCGAATCAGTCTCTCGGAGAGCTTTGAAGAGTAAAGACGTGCCCTCATTAATAAAACCAGTTAAATTCAAATAATCAATCACGAGTGTTTTCATTTATCGCCATAATCCTAATATGTTCAGTGGGTTAAGTTTGAGGGCGGTAATTAAGGAATTTTTATCGAGAGCTTGATCCACTCGGCATGTCCTTTGGGTTTTATCAGCGGGAGATAGAATCGAAACGGGTAACTCACCCCCTTGGGTAACTCCATTCACTCGGGACTCCGTTTTGGCGTGATGGGGGGATGAATAGCCATATCGGTAAGAACCAGACGGGTCTTGTGCGTGGAACTGTGATGCGGGCCAAATCGCTGTGGGGTAGCCGGTCGCAGCGCCCAATAGACCGATTATAATGCTCAGCTATTGAGTGAAAATGAAGAAATAAGGCGGGTTAAATCGATCGGCACCGAAACTCAGAGGGTGACTCAGTGGGGGTGACTGGTGGCCAAATTCTGGATTCTTATTCCAACTTCTACATGTAGGGGAGGGTGGGGCAAAACGGCTCCCCTTCAATTGTCAATAACTTGTGAATGACATTGTGAAAATTCCCAGTTTCAACTTCATTTTGAAGATAATTTTTCATTCTTCAAAACGAGCTCTAACTCTTCCCAATCGGATTATTGAATCGGAAAATATTGACGATTGAAGGGGGACCGTTTTGCCCCAGCCTCCCCTACTACACGGAGAGAAATTTTTGATAAAAATTATCCTACACTGTTAAAAAAATTTAAATGAATTTTCCAGAAAATGACACTGAATTCAATTTAATGGAAAAGAGTCTATGAAACTTCACGTTTCCATGAAAATTCAAGGAAATTCCTGATTTTTCAGTGGAAGAACCATGAAGATTCCGAAATTTACATGAATTTTCAATGTAAACATGGTAATTCGATAAGAAATTACTCTGAAATTTCAAAAAATTGAAAATTCAAGGACATTTTTGCTTGAATTTTTCTAATTTCTATTCATTTTCATGGAATAATTTAGCTGAAATTTAAAATTTCCACGAATTTTCCACGAAAACCACGAATTTTCAATGGTAAAATTCCCTGAAATTTCAATGAAACCGGCACTTGTTTCATATTTCAAGACTAAAGCCTCGAAACTTCAGTGAAAATGTTTTAACAGTGCACCGTTTCATAAATGTGTATCATGAGTCATCGTTTCCTCATTTCTATCCCGAAATTTAGTAAAGAGTAATATATGATGATCAAATTTTATTCTACGTTAGGGAAATTTTATCCTGATAAAAATAAAAATTACCGTGCCGGTAGAGTAAAAATTACTGTATCGCTAGGGTGAAATTTACCAACTGTTCTAGAGTTTTCGTTGTTATCTACATAAAAATTATTGGACTGGAAGGGTAAAATTTATTATGCGTCAGGATAAAATTTCTTTAGCTTTAGAAAATTTGATCATCATATATTACTTTTTACTAATTTTCGGGATAGAAATGAGGAAACGATGACTCATGATACACTTTTATAGAGCAGTAGGATCATTTTTACCAAAAATTTCTCTCCGTGTAGAGCTGTGCGTCAGTCTTATGTATTCGTTGTGAAAATGAAGAAGTCGAATTTATTAAAGCAATAAAGACTTGAAGAGAATTAAGAGAATGAAGAGTGAAACATCAATGAATAATTTTTAATCTTCGATTAATTTTTTTTTAAATAATCTGATTAAAATCTGTAATTGTTGAAAAATGAGGCGAGGGTTATGAATTGATTTCCTAGAAACGTGAAAAAATTTCCTGAATTCTTCGGAAAATTTCACGGTTTTCCAGATAATCGTAGATCTTCACAGATTTTTCTCGAATTACTTGGGAAGCCGACGAATTTTCATGAATTTTGTAGAGTTTAGAATTTATGTATGGACATCTCAGAAACAAGAATTGATCATTTTTGCGCATTATAAATATGAAAAAATAAAATTTGGGAAGTGAAGAATAATTTGTGAGTTAGAAAAATTTAGAAATACTGTTTTTTTTCTCATGATCAACAATTAGGCAATTTAGATATGTTTTGATATATAAAGATAAACTTCACACATGAAAAAATGAAAAATATTACGCAGAAAAAATGTTTGGCATTTGAAGAATTTGAAAACACCGGGGATTTTTTTCAACGACTACTTCACGTGACTCATTGACCAATCAGAATTGAGGATTAGCGACCAGACAGTTCGATAATTCGATTTCTTCATTTCCACAACGAATAGATAAGCGCGCGAAAGCGTGCGCAAAAGTCCTTTTTTTAAAACATCATTTATGCACGTTTCATGACATTTCCACCCAAAATTAAGAAATGAACAAAATCACGATTAAAAAGCGTCAATTCGAAACCAAAAATGTTAAGATTAGATGTTCATTAAACAAAAAAAATAAAATTCAAATTCTTGTTTTTTAAAAACATCGTTTCTGCACGTTTCATGAAATTTCCAGGCATTTCCACCCAAAATTATGGAATGAAAAAAATCACGATTAAAAAGCGTCAATTCGAGAGCAAAAATACTAAGACTTCACGTTCCTTAAACAAAAAAAACTAAAATTCAAATTCTTGTTTTTTAAAAACATCATTTCTGCACTTTTCATGAAATTTCCAGGCATTCCCACGCAAAATTAAGAAATCAAAAAAATCACGATTAAAAATCGTCAATTCGAGAGCAAAAATACTAGGACTTCACGTTCCTTAAAAAAAAAAAAATCAAATTCTTGCTTTTTTAAAACATCGTTTCTGCACGTTTCATGAAATTTCCAGGCATTTCCACCCAAAATTATGGAATGAAAAAAATCACGATTAAAAAGCGTCAATTCGAGAGCAAAAATACTAAGACTTCACGTTCCTTAAACAAAAAAAACTAAAATTCAAATTCTTGTTTTTTAAAAACATCATTTCTGCACTTTTCATGAAATTTCCAGGCATTCCCACGCAAAATTAAGAAATCAAAAAAATCACGATTAAAAATCGTCAATTCGAGAGCAAAAATACTAGGACTTCACGTTCCTTAAAAAAAAAAAAATCAAATTCTTGCTTTTTTAAAACATCGTTTCTGCACGTTTCATGAAATTTCCAGGCATTTCCACCCAAAATTATGGAATGAAAAAAATCACGATTAAAAAGCGTCAATTCGAGAGCAAAAATACTAAGACTTCACGTTCCTTAAACAAAAAAAACTAAAATTCAAATTCTTGTTTTTTAAAAACATCATTTCTGCACTTTTCATGAAATTTCCAGGCATTCCCACGCAAAATTAAGAAATAAAAAAAATCACGATTAAAAATCGTCAATTCGAGAGCAAAAATACTAGGACTTCACGTTCCTTAAAAAAAAAAAAATCAAATTCTTGCTTTTTTAAAACATCGTTTCTGCACGTTTCATGAAATTTCCAGGCATTTCCACAGAAAAATAAGGGAAGGAAAAAAATCACGATTAAAAAGCGTCAATTCGAGAGCAAAAATACTAAGACTTCACGTTCTTTAAACAAAAAAAACTAAAATTCAAATTCTTGTTTTTTCAAAACATCATTTCTGCACGTTTCATGAAATTTCCAGGCATTTCCACCCAAAATTATGGAATGAAAAAAATCACGATTAAAAAGTGTCAATTCGAGAGCAAAAATACTAAGACTTCACGTTCCTTAAACAAAAAAAACTAAAATTCAAATTCTTGTTTTTTAAAACCATCATTTCTGCACTTTTCATGACATTTCCAGACACTTCCACCCAAAATTATGGAATGAAAAAAATCACGATTAAAAAGTGTCAATTCGAGAGCAAAAATACTAAGACTTCACGTTCCTTAAACAAAAAAAAATAAAATTCAAATTCTTGTTTTTTAAAAACATCATTTCTGCACTTTTCATGAAATTTCCAGGCATTCCCACGCAAAATTAAGAAATAAAAAAAATCACGATTAAAAATCGTCAATTCGAAACCAAAAATACTATGACTTCACGTTCCTTAAACCCCAACCTCCTCAAGGGCGAAAAAATACTCACTTCGAACATCACAGGATTCCGGGAAAACCGACGTTAATTGATCAAGAAGATATTGACACTGGTAAAATCAACAAGAGGAGATACAGTACAGAAGGATCGGCAATAGCGCTTGGGCATCCTCTTATATAGCCATGGGATGCGCGCACACGAATAGGTCCCCGCCTGCATCATACGGGTGGGGATTTCAACTGAATGTTCGACAAGCTTAAAGTACATTTACCCACACTTGTGAACATCACTGTGGGGCCCTACGGAAATAAAACCAGGTATTCTTCTCCCTCGTTTCTCGTTCTCTATATGTACACCACAAATCAAGGGTTCGATTTCCACCTCGATAAATCATGGTTTATTGCTTTCAACGCGAGCTGCCGCAGTCGTGCTGATATTCTCGCAGCTTCAGGACGCTGCGTTTTCATTCCCATTTGGTTTTTTTTTTTTTTTCGTGCACGGAGAGAAATTTTGTAGAAAAATTCTGGTACGAGTACTGGAAAAAATTACAATCCATCGGCTGTGAAAAATTTTAGTGCTGTTAAGGTAAAATTTCTTGGTATTTCTGGTAAAATGTCTGGGAATTTCTGTGAAATTTTTACAGAAATGCGGGGGAAATGCGGGGGGAAAAATTCACGTGTTCCCCAATAAAATTTCTAGTGCCGAAACTGGATTTTTTTACTGGCCGTCACTTTGCGCTTCTTTTCCCAGGCTAGCACTAGAATTTTTCTAAAAAATTTCTCTTCGTGTGCACCGAGAGAAATTTTCTAGAAAAATTCTAGTACGAGTACTGGAAAAAATTATAATCCACCGTCTGTGAAAAATCCTAGTGCTGTTAAGGTAAAATTTCTTGGCATTTCTGGTAAAATTTCTTGGTATTTCTGGTAAAATGTCTGGAAATTACTGTGAAATTTTCACATTGTTTATTGATGTAATCGTTTGGGAAGATTGGGATGTATGTGGTAGGCACGTAATTCCAGGTGAATTACTCACCTGTGGAGAAACAATCGCGGACGTGGGTGCCTCTTGATGATGCGTTGGATTTGACATTGGCATGAAAAATGAGGGGAATCGGTTAGTGATTGTTGAGAATGCGGAATTTTTTGATGAAATGCATTTCTCGTTTGATGGATTTTCATTGGAGGAGTGGACTTTACCGAAAAAGGAAGGTTTATTTTGAGAATTATGATTTCAAGTCGAGACTTTTGACAGTTTCAAAGTGAGATTTTCAAATGTTTCAAACTGAGGTTTTCAAAAGTCTCAAGCTGAGACTTTTGAGAAAATATAAGTTATATAAGTTAGATAAATAGGATATTTAGAGGTATAACTTACTGAAGTATTTGCTTTAAGTAATACTTTCCGTCATGACTGTTCCGTTAAATTTTAGGTATTAACATTTTCATTCATCAACTTTTTCTACGTTTTGATTTGATCCTGTAATTGGCCTTGTGCTGTTGGGTGATTATAAAATAAAAATGAGAATGAAATGAAAATGAAAGTACTTTGGCTATTTTTTCCAGTAAAATGCTTTTCTACTTTTGAAATCAACCTCAGAGCTTTCATTTGAGCCCCTTAGCAGGTCTGAATTTGAATCTCGATATTGAACCATTAGAAAACATTTTTAAAACCTGAAAAAAACAGAACGTTTACTTTTGGAAGATTGATGAAATTTTTTAAAACTACGAGCATTTTTTCTAAACAATCAATTTTTCACCACAAAAATTATTTGTTCGAAATCGCAACAAATTTATTCATATTCAGAATTTTCCCACAAATCGATTTCATTCCTAAAAAATAAGGTTTCCGAAAGTTTAAACAATTTAAATTATTTATAAACAACGAATGTTTAAAAAAATAATAATTCTGTGCAAAATGTAATGTCAATGCCGCAGAATATTCATGATTTTTTTCCATTTTTTTTCACGCAATTAAATTAACAAATTTGATGATATCATTAATTAATGATGATATTAAGGAAAAAGTGATTTGGAATTGACGAAAATTGAGGAAGATTGATGAAATAATTTGAGAATTGTAATTTTTCAAAATTACGAACGTTTTTTTATAAATAATTTATAAACAATCAATTTTCCACCAAAAACCATTTCTTCGGAATCGCAAAAAATTTATTCATGTTGAGAATTTTCCCACAAATCGATTTCATTCCTAAAAAAAAGAGGTGTCCAAAAGTTTAAACAATTAAAATTATTCATTTATAACTCTACGCAAAAAGTCATTGGAATGCCGCTGAATATTCGTGATTTTTTTCATTTTTTCCCACGCAATTCAATCAACAAATTTGATTATATCCTTAATTAATGATGATAATATCCTCAAGGAAAGAGTGATTTGAAATCATACATCCCCATAGGGTAATTGCCAAGCCGCTCGCCTGACACGTAATCGGAACGGGTTCAAATCCCAGTGAGATAATACGACATTCGCACCAAATAAACACTTGCAGCATTAGCCTGCCGGCGTCGATTTCTCTGTCTCCATCACCATTCGCCTGCAGAAATGCATTTTTTCCGTGACAAGTACCACGTCATCCCCAACAATCGAATCTCCATTTTTCATTCACCCGCACGGCGAGAAATATTCAGTAAAAATTACGGAACTCACAATTCACTCACCGATTACGGAATCGACTCAGAAAATTTAAGTGAGGGTATCGTAATTTTCCACAGGAGTTCAGATAAAAATTACGGAACGCTCTGGAAAACTTCCGTGACAGCTCCGTAAAATTTCCCACAACCACATATCGCTCCGGAATTACGGAAAAGATACGTAATTTTTATTGAATATTTCTCTCCGTGCGACAGTTCCGCTGTTTCAATGACGCAACAACACCTGCCTTCCCGTAAAAAAATCGCCTTATCAAACAATGAATTACACAATCCAGCATTATCACTGGCCTCGCTCGATCCCCCGTACTCCATAAATAATAACAATTTTTCCATCCATGAGATATTACAATTCGGATTGAAGTTAAGTACGCTCTGGTATCCATGTACTTCCGTCGTTCAAACCGCCGTAAAATCTCTCTTATTATTGGATCGCATTCTGCGGACCCCTCAGTTGCATCTGTTACACCCACGCATTCAACCCAACCACGTAACTTGCCGCAGAAAAAGGAAGAATATGAAGAGAATGGAGAGAAGATAGTGGGGAAAAATAAAAAATAAAAAATAAAAAATTAACGCTGCAGGGGAAACGAGTTTTCGCCCAAGTTGCTGCACAGAACTTGAACGAAACAGTACAGAACTCAGTGGAACAAGAGTGCACACGCCATGTCTTTTATACTTGGGCCGTCCCAGTGTTGGGTATTTATATGGAGCTGTGAAGATCCTTGCTGGCGCGTGTATTGGCTGAGGCGGTTTTCTCGCATACCCAGACCAATATATGCGACTTAGAGGCAACCAGGGAATGATCTAATCGCTTGGGGTTCATTGCCTCCTGGCACACCGGAATGTTCAATTTTTATTCGACACTTTGAATATCTCACGCATCGGATTTACCGCACATTTTTCCTCGAGCCAAGTGCTTGATATTTCGAGGGATCGATAAAAATATGTAAATATTACTGGATTCAGTCGAAGTTTGACCCTCGTGGCCCTTATTCTGACCCTCGTGACCCTCGTGACCCTTGTAACCCTTAATCTGACACTTGTGACCCTTAATCTAATCGCTTGGGGCTCATGGCCCCCTTGCACACCGGAATATTCAATTTTTATTCGACACTTTGAATATCTCACGCATCGGATTTACCGCACATTTTTCCTCGATCCAAGTGCTTGATATTTCGAAGGATCGATGAAAATATATAAATATTACTGGATTCAGTCGTAGTTTGACCCTCGTGGCCCTTATTCTGACCCTCATGACCTAGATTTCTGAATCTAAGGGCCACCTTGTGATCCTTGTAATCCTTAATCTGACCCTCGTGACCCTTAATCCGAGTTATATAACCCTGAATGTGACCCTTGTAACCCTTAATCTGACACTTGTGACCCTTAATCTAATCGCTTGGGGCTCATGGCCCCCTTGCACACCGGAATATTCAATTTTTATTCGACACTTTGAATATCTCACGCATCGGATTTACCGCACATTTTTCCTCGAGCCAAGTGCTTGATATTTCGAGGGATCGATAAAAATATGTAAATATTACTGGATTCAGTCGAAGTTTGACCCTCGTGGCCCTTATTCTGACCCTCGTGACCCTCGTGACCCTTGTAACCCTTAATCTGACACTTGTGACCCTTAATCTAATCGCTTGGGGCTCATGGCCCCCTTGCACACCGGAATATTCAATTTTTATTCGACACTTTGAATATCTCACGCATCGGATTTACCGCACATTTTTCCTCGACCCAAGTGCTTGATATTTCGAGGGATCGATGAAAATATATCAATATTATTGGATTCAGTCGAAGTTTTCCATTCGTTGGAACGACTCGAGGGGAGAAAAAAAAAAGAATTGGCAGAGGGGGAGGAAAAAAAACGTCTGATCGATTATCCAATGCACCGAAAGGCCGTTTGTACTTTCATGAGACGGTGGCCATATAAGAGCCCGAGTTCACTCGAGTACTTCGAGGAGGAAAAAACCTCAGCGCTCAAACTCTGGGAATCCTCACTCTTTCCACCTTAACGCTCATGAAATATAAATTAAAGGAAAGGAATACTCTTTCTTCGGGTGAATATCTGTCTTTTACTGAGTTTGGGGTTTATTTTGCGGTTTCGGGAGGGGAGATATTTGCTGCCGACAGTAAATACTTATGGTAAATACGGAGGTATATGATCGTAATGAAATATAAATATACCAGGGGGCTACGCCCCCGGTTCGCTCCGCCCGTCAACCCTCATATGACGTGACCCTTAATCTGACCCTAGTGACCCTTAATCCGAATCGTGACCCTTATTCTGACCCTTGTGACTTTTATTCTGAGCCTTGTGACCTTGATTCAGAACCTCGTGACCCTTATTCTGAGTCTTGTGACATTGATTCAGAACCTCGGGACCCTTATTCTAGCCCTTGTGATCCTTAATCTGACCCACGTGACCTTTAATCTGACTCATATAACCCTTAACC